AGAGGAGGGTAAAGAAAAGGATTTGGAAGCGCGTTCTTGTGTGTGTGTGTGAGGGAGAGAGGGGGTGTGGTTTGTAAGTTTACGGCGAAATTTATCTGTACTTGCATAAAATGCAGCCTTTCTCTGGAGCTGATTATGTTTTTAGATTAATAAGATGAATGTTTGGAGTGATTTTCTTTTAGTCAGAACACAACGTTCTATGTTACTGTGGTACATTGTATTGTGTTGTATAATTTAATCAGGGTTTAGCGCTATATAGATGTCATTTATTGTTATTGTTTTATTATGTTGCATTCCTGAGTATGGTAAAAATGTCACTTTTTGTCAATTTTCCTTATTCTCACGATGGACTTTTGATCACTAAAATCTTTATAAACATAAATGTTATTTGGGAAAGTACATTTTAGACAGGCATGTTTTTGACATAGCTTTTAAAGAGTAACTATACTAAATGGGATTCTGGATTGCAGAAAGTGAATGTTATATTTTCAGACAAGTATGTTATACTGAGGTTTTACTGTGTCTTTTTTTTTTTCTGCAAATCAGCATCCCAGCACACAAGCAGCCGAATTTACCCATGTCAAATCACACAAAATAATTGTCTTGTGTGCGCTTTCCATATATATATATATATGTATAATAAACTGAAATTTAACATAAAAAGAAAATAAACCTTAACAAAACGTCCAGCTGCTTTAGCAATTTTCTAGACCCCTTATTGTCTTTAGTGTTTGACCCCACTTCACCGTGTGACTCTTATTGTCATGTTGTGGCTCATCGCTGCATTAGGGGAATAGCTTTGTTCTATGCTATTGAGAATGCGGACTGGTTATTAGGATATTATGATAGTCTCCATTCTCACTGAGTCTTTGAACTTATTGAATTTACTTACATTTTGTTCTCTTTTTCTTTATCCCCAGAGATCCTGATGGTCTGAGGACGTTCTACTACCTTGTTCAAGACTTGAAATGTTTGGTCTTTTCTCTGATTGGCCTTCACTTTAAGATTAAGCCAATTTAAACGTTTTCATGTTGTGACATTTTTATTATCATCATGCCCCTTAGACTTCAGTTACCATTGTATTTTCATAACTTCATTTCATTTGAGTTTTTTTGTTTTTTGAATCAATCATGATATGGTGTACCTACTGCCTTTGTGTGACACTCTGCATACTTGTGTACTTATGTTCCGTGGGAAAATAAACATGCTCATACACAGTTTTGTCTTTTTACTTTTTTTTTTTCTCTGTGTAATATATATATATAATTTAGTTTGATCTGGTTGTGGAGCACCAGCAGTAGATGTAAGTCTTACTGCAGTAGATCTAAGTCTTCCTTTTTCTTCTACCTGTCTGTCTTTCTGTCTTGTTGGTTTCTAAATTTTAGTGTCAAATGATTGTTGATGTGTTTGTTCTGTGTCAGGCCACGAGAGCCCCCACTGTCAGTCTTTGTTTATTTGAATGAGAGGCCAACACCTTAACCTCTAGGCCACGAGAGCCCCCACTGTCAGTCTTTGTTTATTTGAATGAGAGGCCAACACCTTAACCTCTAGGCCACGAGAGCCCCCACTGTCAGTCTTTGTTTATTTGAATGAGAG